AGAAAGTCAATGGGAGATTTTATGGCCAGAAATCTGCACAGACTTCAAGAGAGAGACGCAGCAGAATGCAGAGTAATATTTACACATCACAGCCACGGGTCTAGAGCTACAGGACACAGGCAGAGCTGAGGGGCGCACCTGAATGTACAATGAATGAACTCACAGGTATTTGTTATTCTCGTAAACGTCATGCAGCTTCAACACATGCGGATGCTCAATCAGCTTCAGGATGGCAATCTCCCTCTCCACCTAGACAGAGAGAGGGGGGGGGGGGGGGGTAGAAAGAGAGATGGGGGAGAGAGAGAGAGAGCGAGAGAGAGGGGATAGAGGGAGAGAGGGGGGATATAGGGAGGGAGAGAAGAGATGGGGATAGAAAGAGAGAGGGGGGAAGAGAGAGACATATACAATTGTAATTTGAGAGGAATTTACATTCCAGTGTTCACTCTTAATGCATACCTGATGAAATATGTCTTGTTGAAGAGTGAGAAAGCCTTTGCATGCATGTAATTTCATTACTATTCCAAACAGTCCTTACTATGTATATTGCATTAAAGTTATATATACATATATACAGTGAGGGAAAAAAGTATTTGATCCCCTGCTGATTTTGTATGTTTGCCCACTGACAAAGACATGATCAGTCTATAATTTTTATGGTAGGTTTATTTGAACAGTGAGAGACAGAATAACAACAACAAAAATCCAGAAAAACGCATGTCAAAAATGTTATAAATTGATTTGCATTTTAATGAGGGAAATAAGTATTTGACCCCTCTGCAAAACATGACTTAGTACTTGGTGGCAAAACCCTTGTTGGCAATCACAGAGGTCAGATGTTTCTTGTAGTTGGCCACCAGGTTTGCACACATCTCAGGAGGGATTTTGTCCCACTCCTCTTTGCAGATCTTCTCCAAGTCATTAAGGTTTCGAGGCTGACGTTTGGCAACTCGAACCTTCAGCTCCCTCCACAGATTTTCTATGGGATTATGGTCTGAAGACTGGCTAGGCCACTCCAGGACCTTAATGTGCTTCTTCTTGAGCCACTCCTTTGTTGCCTTGGCTGTGTGTTTTGGGTTATTGTCATGCTGGAATACCCATCTACGACCCATTTTCAATGCCCTGGCTGAGGGAAGGAGGTTCTCACCCAAGATTTGATGGTATATGGCCCCGTCCATCGTCCCTTTGATGCGGTGAAGTTGTCCTGTCCCCTTAGCAGAAAAACACGCCCAAAGCATAATGTTTCCACCTCCATGTTTGATGGTGGGGATGGTGTTCTTGGGGTCATAGGCAGCATTCTTCCTCCTCCAAACACGGCGAGTTGAGTTGATGCCAAAGAGCTCAATTTTGGTCTCATCTGACCACAACACTTTCACCCAGTTCTCCTCTGAATCATTCAGATGTTCATTGGCAAACTTCAGACGGGCCTGTATATGTGCTTTCTTGAGCAGGGGGACCTTGCGGGCGCTGCAGGATTTCAGTCCTTCACGGCGTAGTGTGTTACCAATTGTTTTCTTGGTGACTATGGTCCCAGCTGCCTTGAGATCATTGACAAGATCCTCCCGTGTAGTTCTGGGCTGATTCCTCACCATTCTCATGATCATTGCAACTCCACGAGGTGAGATCTTGCATGGAGACCCAGGCCGAGGGAGATTGACAGTTATTTTGTGTTTCTGTGTTCCATTTGCGAATAATCGCACCAACTGTTGTCACCTTCTCACTAAGCTGCTTGGCGATGGTCTTGTAGCCCATTCCAGCCTTGTGTAGGTCTACAATCTTGTCACTGACATCCTTGGAGAGCTCTTTGGTCTTGGCCATGGTGGAGAGTTTGGAATCTGATTGATTGATTGCTTCTGTGGACAGGTTTCTTTTATACAGGTAACAAACTGAGATTAGGAGCACTCCCTTTAAGAGTGTGCTCCTAATCTCAGCTCGTTACCTGTATAAAAGACACCTGGGAGCCAGATATCTTTCTGATTGAGAGGGGGTCAAATACTTATTTCCCTCATTAAAATGCAAATCAATTTATAACATTTTTGACATGCGTCTTTCTGGATTTTTTTGTTGTTATTCTGTCTCTCACTTTTCAAATAAACCTACCATTAAAATTATAGACTGATCATTTCTTTGTCAGTGGGCAAATCTACAAAATCAGCAGGGGATCAAATACTTTTTTCCCTCACTGTATATATATTTAAGGTTTATTTGGAATTGTACACATTTGCAGCTAAAAGCTGGATTGCAGCATACATAGGCCTACGTAAGTAAGTAAATACATTATTAGTGATTCATTTTAAGGTAAAAAAAAACCTGTCCATCATTTTAAGGTCAACCCTGTTACATGAACTGAACTCACGTTTTAATATGGTGAAACTATTTCTTTCTAAATATATTTTTCAAAAGAGACATTGAACATTTAATGGTCAAATCATTGTGTAAAAGCAGGTGAACTACTCTAATTTTCTGGTGTTTTGTGGTGGAAAACTGAGCGGGTCGAGCATAACATGTCAACCTTGTTACCCATAGATAGACAGGCTAGAAATGTTTTAACAATTTTATATTTCTTGTGAGGCTTGCATTCAATTGCCCCTCCCTGTTGCACACAACAAGCTTCCATTCCCCCTGTCACAAGGGGATTCATGGCTGATTTAAGAGAAAGTCATCAACCCTGTTACAGTCAACCTTGTTACTTTATTTGGCACTTAATAGGCACTTACTATTGTCCATTTTTTATTTAACCTCTTGAGATGGGAAAATTTGTTTTTTATTAAGCTGAACATGTGCTCTTTATGACAATGTTAAAATTAAGTGAAATAAAACATTATTATTATTACACAAAGTTTCACTACTCAAAAGGCACCCAATTATTGGAAGACCCAACTACTGCAAACAGACAGTTAATCGTGATATTGTCTGTTTTTAGAAAAGTAGTCATCATACTGGGATATCCTTATTTGCATCATCATCATCATCATCATCATCATCTTACCTTCATCAGAACTGACTCAGACAGTTTCTCCCTGTTGACAATTTTGATGGCTATCTTCTGTCCCGTAATGCAGTGAACTCCAAGCTTCACCAGGCCTGAGAGAGTGAGTCACATGCTCACCATACACTGACCAATACAAGGGTATTACGCTATCATAACACATTCACAAAACATATGACTTCCATCTATCTGTCCATGTATCCACCAATCCACTGCACCCACTCACTCGTCCATCCATCCCTCCATCCCATAATAAACACACACAAACACATTATTATTTTTCACACACATAAAAAAACGGTGAAATTCAGAACTCACCTGTCTGGCCCTTTCCCAGTGTTTTTTCCAGTCGATATGGCCCAACATATTGAGCTGACTGACTTAGTGACAGTTCCTTACTCATACTGCTCTACCTATTGGCTACGACTTATAACGACTAATGGTGATAACTAGCTCTATAGTTAGGTGGATTTCATGAATTATCGTCCCCGAATAAAAAAGGAAGCCTGGATAACAATGGTAAAAGTTAGGAAAATATTGCAATGCTGCTTTTAGCTAGACTGGAGTTACAGGTCTATATTCAGAGTTAAAGACCGGACAAGTCCTGAATTGAGAATTGTGGTTTTACTTCTTAGTGGATAGGTGGTTCTGGACTCATGTATTTCCCTTTCATTTGATATAGACAAGTATTATACTGAAACTGAACTATCACAGGTAGGCAACAGCTGAGTAAATGGATTGCTATGACACACATATCATGTTATGCACTAGCCTAAACTCGAAATATCGACAACTATCATGATAAAAAGTATGACAAGATTGATAACATGGTAGGCCTATATGTCAGTTTTCAGATTTAAAAAAAACTTCGCTTATGATACATTGGTCAATCAACATAGATCAGTACCAATATCTATCTCCGTTTGACAGCAACAACCATCAATAGATATTTATCAACATTAGTTTTGACTGCACCATTCCTCTTCTATCTGCAACCTGCTCATAAACAGGTTACTATCATTGGGATGCTACATCAATTCATTCAAACAACGTATTGCAACATAAAACGTCCTTATAGTTCAATGCAGACAGATGTAAATGGTATTCACTGTGTCAGGCCTATATCACAGGTGGAGCAGCATGTTATCTTCGAGTTATTAGCCACACAAGTGCTTCCATACACAGTGGTTAGCCTAACCTACGTTTATCCACGTCTGTCAGCGTCTGTCAAAAACGGATCATTTTGAAGTTTCTTTGTAACGCGAAATGATATGTTTCGTCCAACAGCCACATTGTTGCGATTTTTTTAGAGGAAAGATGCGTCCCTTGCAAAACAACCATCTTTACCGTATCACCCTCCCCCTCCCTCTCGCTCTAGCCCTGCCAGTAGGCTAAGCGTATCACAGCATCTTCTCTCTCTCCTTTGGCGTGTCCTCCCTCGCCGGTTCCAATTTCATTAATTCAACGATTTGCTAGTGAAAAATAAATATCTGCATATGTATTTACACTATACTAGATAGACACGTTTTCATATCATTGCACACGTTGCGTGAGAGGGCCTCCCCGTTTAGAGTCCTTTGCTTTTCTTGCCGTAAATCGATATTTTCTCTCTCTTCCTTCGCCTCATTCGCATCAGCATCCGGGTCCCACTCCCTCTCCATCCTCTCTACCCCTCCCTCTCATCTTCCTCAAATACGCTTGTCTCTCTGCATTCACCTCAGATACATCGAATATGCGGCACTGCTTTTGCAAGCACATTTGTTTTGAATGATGGAATAAGTGATGGAATAAGTTCTTACCAGGATGAATCTAACTGTTATAAAGATTATATTTTTGTGCAATATTTTGTACATCACTGACCAACCAACCTATTGTATTGGGCAAAGTTGGTAATAGCAGCCTAAAAATGACCCCTGACAGGCCTACCTGAGCATGCGAAAGTCAGTGATGTAAACTGATAGGCTGACTGTTTTGTTTGTTGATTTCTGAATTAGAATGTCGGCTAGTTTTAGTAGGGTACAAGCTACATTTAATGTAGCCTAGGCCTACTTTTTTTCTAACAGAAAGTCAGTCAAATTGCTATAGGCTACACATTGGCCTATGATTCGAAGTTAGGCGCAAATAGCCTACTACAACAATAGCTGTATGGACAATTCCAATGTTTTATTGCATGTCGGACACAAATTCGGAATATTATACATTTTAAAAGGTAATCATGTAATTCCATTGCTAAACAAATATAATAGGTCTACTGGATTTCTTTAAAACATCTACCAAGTGGCTACTCTGATCGAGACATCACAGTGATTTATTTGTGAGGCCACAATGATGATGAAGTAGCATATGCAGCCGCTAGTGAGCGCTATGGATCCTCACTTTCACTTTCATCCACCGCAGGAGCCTCGATCTGGCTCTGATGCCATGGTGCCAGAACCGGCTGATACCCTAACACACACTGGAAAGGGGTCAGGTTAGTAGAGGAGTGGCGAAGAGAGTTCTGAGCCATCTCTGCCCAGGGGATATACCCCGACCACTCCTCCTGCCGGCGACCAAACCTACCCACATCCTGGTTCACTCTCTCCACCTGCCCATTACTCTCAGGGTGGAACCCCGAGGTAAGGCTAACCGAGACCCCCAAGCGTTCCATGAACGCCCTCCAGACTCTAGAGGTGAATTGGGGACCCCGATCAGACACTATATCCTCGGGAACCCCGTAGTGCCGGAAGACGTGGGTAAACAAAGCCTCAGCAGTCTGTAGGGCAGTAGGAAGACCCGGCATTGGGATGAGACGACAGGCCTTAGAGAACCGATCCACAACGACCAGAATAGTGGTATTCCCCTGAGAGGGGGGAAGGTCCGTAACAAAGTCCACCGAGAGGTGAGACCACGGCCATTGTGGAACGGGCAGGGGTTGTAACTTCCCCCTGGGCAGGTGTCTAGGCGCCTTACACTGAGCGCACACCGAGCAGGAGGAGACATAAACCCTCACGTCCCTAGCCAATGTTGGCCACCAGTACTTAACACTAAGGCAGTGCACTGTCCGGCCAATACCTGGATGTCCAGAGGAGGGTGACGTATGAGCCCAATAAATGAGACAATCACGGACCTCGAGCGGCACGTACGTCCGACCCACTGGACACTCTGGGGGTATGTATGGGAGTGGGCTCAATGGACCTCTCCTCTGTGTCATACCGCCTGGACAGGGCGTCTGCCTTACCGTTCTGGGACCCTGGGATGTAGGTTATCTTAAACACGAACCGGGTCAGAAACATGTTCCACCTAGCCTGACGAGGGTTCAATCTCCTAGCTGCCCGGATGTACTCCAGGTTACGATGATCAGTCAGAATGAGAAAAGGGTGTTGAGCTCCCTCAAGCCAATGCCTCCACACCTTTAGAGCTTGAACCACGGCTAACAGCTCCCTGTCCCCTACGTCATAATTACGTTCTGCCGGGCTGAGCTTTTTAGAATAAAAAGCGCAGGGACGGAGCTTAGGAGGCATGCCTGAGCGTTGCGACAGTACTGCCCCAATCCCGGCCTCTGACGCGTCCACCTCTACCTGGAACACTAAAGCGGGGTCCGGGTGCGCCAGCACGGAGCCGAAATGAACAGGTCCTTCAGTCTACCAAACGCCCTGTCCACTTCAGCCGACCACTGCAAACGCACCAGGTCACCCTTCAGCAGGGAAGTAATGGGAGCTGCTACCTGTCCAAAACCCCGGATAAACCTCCGGTAGTAATTGGCAAACCCCAAAAACTGCTGAACCTCTTTAACAGTGGTTGGGGTTTGCCAGTTACGCACGGCTGACACACGGTCAATCTCCATCTTCACCCCTGACGCGGACAACCGATGATCCAAGAAGGAGATGGACTCCTGGAAAAACAGACATTTCTCTGCCTTGACATACAAGTCATGCTCCAACAGCCTACCCAACACTCGGCGCACCAGGGCTACATGCTCGGCTCATGTAGCAGAGTACACTAGGATGTCGTCAATGTACACTAACACACCCTGCCCATGCAGGTCCCGGAAGATCTCGTCCACAAATGATTGGAAGACTGAAGGAGCATTCATTAACCCGTATGGCATGACGAGATACTCATAATGACCTGAGGTGGTACTAAATGCCGTCTTCCATTGATCTCCCTCCCTAATGCGCATCAAGTTATAGGCGCTCCTGAGATCCAGTTTTGTGAAGAAACGCGCTCCGCGTAATGATTCAGTCATACTCGCAATCAGAGGAAGAGGGTAACTGTATTTAACCGTGATCTGATTGAGACTATGATAATCAATACACGGACGCAACCGTTCATCCTTCTTCTTCACAAAAAAGAAACTCGAGGACGCAGGGGAAGTGGAGGACCGTATGTGTCTTTGTCTCAGGGACTCGGCTATGTATGTCTCCATAGCCGCCGTCTCCTCTTGAGACAGAGGATACACATGGCTCCGCGGGAGTGCCGCACCTGTCTGGAGGTTTATCGCACAATCTCCCTGTCTATGAGGTGGCAATCGCGTCGCTGCGGTGCCATCATACGTCCTCGTGAGCGAGAGCCGAATCCCACTGGACTCCGGAGCTGGTCTGGTGGGGCTGGCCGATGGTGGTGGTAAGGTAGGAGGAGGTGTGGGCACGCCTCCCCTTTCTCATCGGCGCAGGGTGTTCATCACCTCTTGCATGGCGGAGCCGAGTTGCTGGATCCTGGTGTCCTGGCAGCTGACCCGATCCTCCAGCGACTCGGTCGCCGCCGCTGCTCCTGCTGACTCCATAGTATTGGTGTGTGATTCTGTCACAAGCTGATGTGGATGCGGTGTTGGAGTCAGGCGCAGGACACAGAAGCTCAGTCAAAACGACTTTACTAGTCAACAAGACAATACAAAATAACGGGCCTCAAACACTGGAGGCGAGCGATTACGCATACAGTGCGTAAATACACTATCAACACGAGAACAAATACCATACATCAACGGACAGGCGGACAATCACACACAACTGCAAACAAAACTAAAGGAAACTTATAGGTGACCTAATCAATACATAACACGAAACAGGTGCACTAACAAGACAAGACCAAACAAACATCGAGACATCAAGCGGTAGTAGCTAGTACTCCGGGGACGACGAACGCCGAAGCCTGCCCGAGCAAGGAGGAGGAGCAGTCTCGGCGGAATTTGTGACAAGGCCTAGTACTCACTTGATTCATTATGAGCCTTGCCTTATTTGACAGCATTATTTGAAAGGATTTAATGGTTAGTGGGGAAAACAGGGCAGCGGGCCATGAGATATGCAGTTGTTGATAGGTGAGTGGACACGTCTTACCTCCAACACCTGTTTTGCAGAGCCATACAGTTTGGTCATTGAGCTTTTCACCAGAAGCATTATGATGCAGCCAATTATGATGCATTTTCAT